AATCGTGTAAGGAAGCTTGATCGGGTCTAGTGGACTGGTGTGTGGCCCGATGCTTTCAGGGATCTGAGGGAAAAACATCTGGTCTCGTCCGAAGATCTAAATGGAATCAATTAGTATAATTTCTCGTCGATATTGTTGAAGTATAGGACATACCGCTCGTAAGCGATGATCACATCGTACTAGTCGTTTTTCCTCATCTTCTTGAAGTCCCATCGCTCGGATGTAGTCCCAAATACCTAGGACGATACCGCTTCGAGTCTCTTCTTCAACATCAAGCACCTCGGCCAACTCCTTGCTTAACTTGTATCGCTCAGGGGCCTCGTCTCGGACTAAACTGATGGTGACGTTTAGATTCTCCTGAGACGCACGAGAGAATTGTAGAGAATCAAAATCCGCAGTTGGAGGAAGAGTGACGGCATTCGCAGGTAGCTGCGGCTTCGTCCAGCTAATAGTCTTGGTCTCCTCCGGATTCGAAGATGGAGACTTGTCAAAATCAATAGTGATCGTCTTGAAGAACTGCGAAAACCGCTGTTTTGGTCGTTTAGCAGCAGGTCTCTTCGGCTTCTCGGCAGCTTGTCCATCGTGCTCCATAGCATCTCCGTTCTCCTCGGCGTTCTCGCCTTCATCTTCGCTGTCATCGGGCGCTGTAGGGTCGGTGTCATCATCCAAAAGCCGTCCTTCGATTCTCACTTTATAGCGTCCGGAGCCAGGATTGCTACCCGGGGCTGCTCCGTTCTGGCCTGCACCGGTCTGCCATGGCTGATTCTCCACGGTGTTGGAAATCCAAATGCGCATTGTCCGATATTTCTTGACGGTCTTGCTGATCGAATCCTGAATATCCAGCCTCTTACGGACAATGGAGGCATCCAATCGCTTCTCTAAGTCACGAAGACTTTTGTATTGTTGTACTCCTTCCCCGATGATCACCTCCTCGATGCCATCCGGGATATTCTTGTCGGTGGGCTTACGACTGCGACGCTGAACCGCGTCGTTAGGATGCGGCATGTTGCGCTGAGGAGGGATGTACTGAGGCGGAACTGCGTGCTGTGGCATCGGTACAGGCATAGCAGGACCTACTTCAATCAAATGGTGTTAGGAGACAGACTTCATTTAAGGTTTGCCGGAATCAAGGGAGATGGGGCAAACCTACCTGGTGCTGGAGGCCCGCGACGAGGCGTGGCAGGAGACCGTTGGGCGGCTTGCGGGAAGCCACGGGCATAGTTGGGCTGCATACTCATTGGTATATCAAAGGAGAGACACCAAGTGCAGATAGCGTACTTCGAACGCAGTTGTTTTGAAATGAATGGAGGATATCTGGATGGGCATGGATGCCTTTGGTGTACTTGTCTCCGATGCGAAAGTCGCGATCCTTTTGCCGCGATCGCACTATACCCTTTTTGGTCAGTTCCGAAAAGTACCTCTCTAGGTAACGTAATCTTCTCTCCTGCGCAGCAGGGCTATATCAATACTTCTTACGTGGATACGGCTACGATCATTGGAAGAAGCTGAAAATGGGCATTGGCCATATCCAATCAGGTCTAAATATTACAAGCGCAATTACAGAAAGCCCCTCCGAGCAGGAGCCATTTATCCCACAATCATGCTTTAATGCTATCATTCCCAGAGATCACATTAAGTAAAAGGTCAGGACAATCACTCCAGCATTGATGCCTGGTTAGTGTACAGTCCCTCCACCACATTGCTAAGCTTCTCAATTGTTTCCAGAGCTGCATCGTACGCCTGGTCACGCTCCGTCTCGTCGTAGACGATCAGGCAGCCAGCACCTTGATCCAAGACCCCAATGATTACCTTGTCCAGGATCATCTGAGAAAGCTTCCTCTCCACCTGTTGCGTATCCAGGCCAACCATCTTCGCGATGTGGTCTAGCTCAACCCGGCTAAAGGGCTCAATGACCTTGATGAGATTCTGTTCCAGCATGGCGTCGTACAATCTCCGGAGATGGTTACGGATAAAAACATCGCTTCCAAGTTCGTATCTGTAGTCCGAAAGAGCCTTCTCGTATTCTTCGAGAGAGCGGTTGGCATGGGCACGAGCCACGGCCTTCATGGCTTCAAGTCGTGGGCTAGCGTACTTCTGCGCTTGCTTAGAACCCAGCAAATTGGTGACATCATCCACCAGGTTCAGCATGATTTTACACAACAGCATGTACTGAAGAGCAGCCGTTGCCAAATCACTCTCATCAAGCGAGCTGTATCCCTCGAGGGCCTCAATGAAGTAGGAAAATGCCGTAGTAAAGTCCTTGTCCTCTGCATGTAGCATACCACTTTGCATGTCCAGCCCAGCCTGAAGATGTGGAGGTGTGTAAACCGAAGCGGCGGATGTACGAGCAGCGGTCAAGGCGGCGCGTGCCTTGGCTTGGTTACCGAGCGCGTGATACACCCTCGACTCCAACAGCTGCACCTCAACCAACATGAGTTTGTCATCCATGCGCTTCAGCTCACGCAGGAGAGAATTAATGAGGGTAAGGGCATCATAGTAAGATTGCTTCTGCATGTATATAGCCACCAGCCGGGTTTCAAGGTTCTGTCGGAGGAAGGACCGTCGTTCTGAGACGGCCCAGTCAATGCAGGATTTGATGACGGCGACTTGGATGTCGAGGGTATTCGGAATCTCACTGAATAGGTCAAGCAGCTGGCGGACTAGGATGACGGGTCAGCTACTCTGAGGAGTATTAACCCAACTATCAGCGTGGCCATCGACTTACCGAGCTTCGCAGTCTTTGCTTTGGCAAATGATGAGAAGGTATCACGACTGGTTTTGATGAGCTCTGCAATTTCCTGTGGCTTCTTCTCATCCCGATACAACTCCCCCAATCCGATCAGAGCATTTTCATAGTCTCTCGACGAGGTCTCAGTCGAGCCTGGACCTTGCGAGAGGATATCCTTGTAAATATTCTCGGCCTTGGGAGCGTCTTCCTTCGCGAGAGCCCGAGCCTCCTCTATCCGCGCCGCTGTTGTCGACGAAGGCGCCATGATCGAACTGGTTGTGAGGGATGTAGTAGAGGGATTCTAGGTGGTAAACGGCCAAAGCAAATATTTCGGCAGTAAATGACAGCTGCAATAGACTTAGATTAGCAAAAAGTCCGATGAGAACCCGATTGGGACGGGATTGAGGAGATATTGGTATCTGTTATTAATGGGTGGTTCACTGGCTATCGTCACACTTGGAGCTGGGCCAGCAGCTTGGGCTGTTCTCACCGCCCGCGGCTTAACGAATCACCCGGAAAACAACCAGCAGAAAAAAAAGCATCTGGAAATTTCAATGGCCGCCCGCCAAAACATCAACTACCACATTCTTCATTTTCATGATCTAATAGCCCACGGTTGGAGAGCATCATGGTAAGCATCGGTGTCGATAATATAATGTGAGATCATAAGACTCTGATACATTTGCACAGAAAATCAAGGCAATTTCTCGCTCCACGGCGTCCCAGCAGGCGCCTGGCTCTGCTGTCGTTCGACAGCCCCGAAATCTGGATCCAGCCCAGCATCCGTTCGAACGAGCTCGTGAATACACCCGTGCATTGAATGCTGTCAAGCTAGAGCGACTGTTTGCCGCGCCCTTTGTGGGCCAGATGGGCGACGGTCATGTGGATGGTGTTTATACAATGGCCAAAGATCCGGGATCCCTACAACGGTTTGCGAGTGGTAGTGGTGACGGTGTCGTCAAGGTTTGGGATTTGACAACTCAAGGCGAAGTGTGGAACACTCAGGCACATGAGAATATTGTCAAGGGATTGTGCTGGACTCCCGAACGGAAATTGCTCTCGTGCGCAAGCGACAAGACCATCAAACTTTGGGACCCATACAACTCCTCACCTGAAGCACCACCATTGGGAACATATCTAGGCCAAAGCGCTTTTACTGGGGTTTCGCATCACCGAAACCTGCCATACTTCGCTGCGTCGTCTTCTCAGATTTCTATCTATGATTTGTCGCGGCCGTCCTCGACACCTTCCCAGGTCCTTCATTGGCCCACGAGCGTGGATACTATCACCTCGCTTGCCTTCAATCAGACGGAAACATCCATCATTGGATCGACAGCCATTGATCGATCTGTTATCATGTACGATCTTCGTACTTCATTGCCTGTTCACAAACTTGTCCTACGTTTGGCATCGAACGCCATTTCCTGGAACCCGATGGAGGCATTCAACTTCGCGGTGGCCAACGAAGATCATAATGCTTACATTTTTGATATGAGGAAAATGGATCGTGCCTTGAATGTGCTCAAGGATCACGTGGCTGCGGTCATGGATGTCGAGTTCAGCCCGACTGGCGAGGAACTCGTGACGGCTTCTTATGATAAAACGGTGCGCTTGTGGAGCCGAGCTCATGGGCATTCCCGCGACATTTACCATACCAAGAGAATGCAACGGTATGTATTTCCCAAGCGTCTGGTTCATTTCGCCTCCATTGCTCATTTGTTCGTACAGTGTCTTCTCCGCTAAGTTTACACCCGACAACAAATACATTCTTTCCGGGTCAGACGACGGCAACATTCGACTCTGGCGTGCGAATGCCTCCGACCGTAGTGGCATCAAGAGCGCCCGCCAGAGAGCGAAGTTAGAATATGACCAGGCTCTAATTACCAGGTACTCGCATATGCCTGAAATCCGAAGGATCAAGCGCCAGCGTCATGTGCCAAGAACCGTGAAGAAGGCGACAGAGATAAAGAGAGAAGAGCTTGCTGCTATTAAGAGACGTGAGGAGAATGTTCGCAAGCATAGTAAGAAGGGTGCTCTGCCACCGAGACGGAGCGAGCGTGAGAAGATGATCTTGACACATGAGCAATAAGCTCTGCAAGTCTGGGGACCTCTCTTGATTGTCGAATCTCGAGAGTGTCAACTTCCGAACATTTGTCCTCCAAAGGCAATTCCATTCGATGACAATCGACGATAACTTAAGGAGTCTATACGGTTTACACAGCATATCACGCATCCTGCTTGTGGTCGTCGTCTTGCTCAAGGCATTGAATCATCAATCGCCCTTCTTGACTTTCAGTTCATCTGGCGATATCTGGCTCGACGACACACCATGTTTTGACTTGTCTGCTTCATATGACCCTTGTAAAGCAGCATGGTCGATACCGCTCAGATAACGGGCAATTCGTTGTATGCTGGCAGGCAGTACGGCATACCAGTCGATGAAAACGGCGAACGCCGGCAGCCGGATTAGGCCACCTTGTCCTTCGTCTATTGCGATAATGATTTTCTGAGCGACATGGACTGGTTCAAGAACTGGCGCAAAAAACTTGTTTGGCGTCTTAAACGATTTGAACAGAGGCGTTGATATCTGCCCTGTCTCCACCAGCAGCATTTTCACTATCTGATCATTTCTCGACATACGAAGCTCAGCTTCCAACGTCCGATGAAGGGCGCTAAGACCTGCCTTGCTCGCAGAGTAGTCTGACAAGCTGGCGGCGGACAGCTGGCCCAGGACGGAGCTGATATTGACGATGGTACCTCCACTCTGAGCGGATAGCATTCCGGGAAGAAATACTTGGCAAGTGTGAAAGACTGCAAGTAGATTGGTTCGGATTGTTTTCTGGAATGCCTCTGCAGATAGAGACAGGAGTGGTTGACCGTTAATTCGTGCCGCCGCGCAGTTGATAAGCACAGTCGGTGTACCCAGCTAAGGAAGATTAGCATCATTCTGTAAACAATCATACCATCTTATCTTCTACAGGGATGTGGTCTCGCGTAGCAATTTCATACCTCTTCCATAATTCTCCTTGCGGTCTTCTCCACATCTTCTCGCTCAGTAATATCACACTGATAGTAGTCCACTCCCGTCACTTCTTCCCATCCCTCGATATCGCTCTCAGCCTTGATGTCCAAGACGGCCACACTAACTCCACGTAATCCATATATCCGGGCAATGAGTAAGCCAAGGCCACTCGCACCTCCAGTCACAACAACAACCTCTTCGCTTAAGTCAACAAGTCGGGGAAGCCCATGCGCCAATCTCTGGTTCATCGCACGGGCAAGAGCCAAGACCGTGAGGAAGACCGCATAGCACGTCGCGATCATGAACGAGAAATGGGTGTAAGGGGTGGCCTGGGCCCGGAGGCTGAGCACCCCGACCCAGGCGACGAATGGGTGGAAAAGTGTGCGATTCAGGACTGTCAAAACAAGGTCGAATGTGAGTTGTTCAAGCCATCCTTTATCGGGTGACTGCGAGATGGACGAGGGTGATGCGGTGGACATTATGTATGATGGACCTAGGCCGGTTACCTTTCTGACATAATCATTGGTTATATCTTCGACATCAGTATTACTTTTCTTGGGAATTGTAGCACGACCGAACTCAGTATCGAACTGTAGAACTCCGGGGACATGTGATTTTTGCTGTTAATCGGCGTACTCCGTCATAGCAGGTAGGCGTGTCACGAAACGGAGGAATTGTTCGAAATGCTACCCCAGCCGCGGTCCACTATATGCAAATATTCAGGAGCCGTCTCCACAGTTAGCATTCATTGTTGTATCAATGAACCGAACAAGGTACAGTATGAAGGGCAGAGAATTGGCAAAAAATGACGTGCGGAGATGTGGGGTGATAGGCTATCACTCGGCTTCCTCCTATTTTAACCAGGATGATAGCATATTTCGTTAGGATACCACAGGCAGACTGATACGAAGTGTGCTTAGTTTGAAATTAGTTTCTTCTAGAGCGGGCCTCACTATTATACTCTAGCATTGAGCGTTGTCGTATGTTCTATACAACCTTCGCCGGTCTTCTTCTTGTATATATCTCCTACAAATCGACTACCCTCGAATTCCGGCGTAATGCCTCCTTCACTAACCACCCAAATCACACAGATCGAACGTGTAAGGCTAGCAGGTGCCAATGATACAGAATGGGATATTGCCATCAAATATCCGGAAAAGCCAGCAAAAGGCATAATCACCGCAATCTCCTCCACCCGCCGCTGCAACTCATCATCAGACGATAACTCCTCTTCCCTGGCGCTTCCAGCCTTGACCCATCCTCACATTCACCTCGACAAGGCCTACGTCCACAGCACACGCGAATGCACACATCTTCTTCCATCGGAAGGCTCCTTCCAAGAAGCGCTGTCCTTAACCACCCAGGCCAAGAAACAGTTCAATCAGGCCGATCTCATGAAAAGAGGCGAATGGCTTCTTGCAGAGTCGGTTTCTGCTGGCGTTACAGCAATGAGGGCGTTCGTGGAGGTTGATCACACCGTCAAACTGACATGTCTTGAAGCTGGTCTCAAACTCAAAGACCAATGGAAAGAATGCTGCGACGTTCAGATCGTCAGCTTCGCTCAGGATCCCATCTTTTCCAGCGAATATGGCGATGAAAATCGCGATTTAATCGAGGAGGCCCTCCAGCGCTATCCACAGATAGATGTCATCGGAACGACACCCTACGTTGAATCGAGTACGGACGCTGCGAGACGAAACATTGACTGGGCGATCGAAACCGCCCTCAAGCTGGACAAGCATGTCGACTTCCATCTAGACTACACCCTAGATGGCAGCAAGGAGGCTCTAGTGTGGTATGTCCTGCAAGCACTGCAGCGGAATAACTGGACGAGCCAGTCAAGTAGAAGACGGGTCATGTTGGGGCATTGCACCCGCCTGACTCTCTTCACTAATGACGAATGGTCGGATTTGGCCAAAAAGATTCGTAACAATGACCTTCCTGTGAGTTTCGTCGGTTTGCCAACCAGCGACATGTACATGGCCTCGGCGTCTCCCGCAGTCAACGCTCCTCACAATCGGGCAAGAGGCACCCTGCATGTCCTTAAGATGATACGCGAGCATGGTCTAGATGCTATTATCGGAGTCAATAATGTCGGAAACGCCTTCACACCCTGGGGCTCTGCTGACCCCCTGTCCCTTGCTTGTCTAGGCGTGGGGATCTACCAGGCCGGAACGCAGAAAGATGCAGAATTGTTGTACGAGTGCGTATCCACGCGTGCGCGTGCCGCAATCGGACTACTGGGCAGCCGGGGCGGATCGGGTTTGATGCTCAAGGAAGGAGATCAACCTGATATAGTCTTGCTCCACAATGTGGACGACACAGGATGCAATGTATCAAGGCCAAGAAGAAGTGTAGCAGAGGTTGTGTGGGATCCGCCGGCAAGGGTGAGCAGACATGTCATCGCCAATGGCCGTCTGAAACTGCCATCACATCCTATGTATCCGGAGACAGCACGCTATTCTTTTAAGGATAACGACGCTTGACGTACTGAAGAAAGCGAGGAAGACGCTCGAGCCATTGTTTGCCTGACCACTGTAAATACAGATAGAACTGTGGCTGAATAACGCGCGCCTCTCGAATGTTTCCAACCCAGTACATCATGCCTAAAGCTATTCTGCACAACTCCATGTCCGCTAGCATTTCAAAAAGTCACATCATGTGGCAAGAAAAGCGTTCTGATGAGACATGAATCAAAATAAGTAATATAGAAGAGCAAAGAATCAAGATGAATCGAGTCAGTATCCTCACGCAGCGCCCCATACAGGTGCAGTTTCATTGGCCTCGGCGCGAGCTTTGGCTGGTCCATGCAATGCATAGCTGAATGTGGGACAGGCTGGGTCTTCACGCATAATGTCAATATCGTCGACGTTGATCGAAAGGCGGAACCCGTTTCCAGCGCGTGGGTACAGTCGATGCTCTTGGAACTCCTCGTATTCTGACTCTTCATCTGACTCGTACCGGTGTCTCTTCCGTGAAGAAGAAGCTGATGGCAATGATTCCGCAGTATTCTCGGTACTCGGCTTCTCAGAAGTCGTGTCTTTCTCCGTGCGGGAGGCTGGTGTTTCGGTTGTTGTAAGTGTCTGGGTGGAAGTTGCTGCTGAGACTGGGCCAGCTGATATGTTTGAGGTGAATAAGAATTTCGACGACTGCAGTTCCTTTAAGTTGCTTGGGAACATCGACAAGGAGGGGTTCCGGTCTGATATAGTGACAAGAAGCTCGACGAGACTTGCGTGGGAGAGGCTCGACAAATAACCCCGCCGCTCCTCCGCTGAGAAAAGCTCGCCTCCTACTTCGATCTTGGGACAGAGCACATGGTGATGTATTGGAGCCAATGTCTGAGCTTGTAAATCAGGATTGCTTCTCACAACGGTTGGCTGGACGATGGAAATTTGCACAGGCTTGCATTCCCGGCAGTGCCACTCCTTCTCGACCACGTTCACAACATCAGAGTCGATCGGAGGGTCATGACAGAGTTGATGCCATGCTCGATTACACCCGTCGCAGAATACAATAGCATTACTTTGCGGGCTATGACCTCTTTGGCAATGCATACAATTGACATACGCCTCCTTTGACTTGCGAAAAACGCGCTTGTGTCTTCGCGCACCTGTAGCTTCTGAGCCATGGGAGGAAGCGCCGTTCGTCTTGGAAACGGCTGGAGATGAAGCTGGAGGCACATATAATGACGGTCGGTTCACTTGCCGGCCGGACTTTGTTTGAGTGGCGGTAGGGGCGATGTCGGATTCATCCGAACTGGAGTCATCAGCCCTTATGATGTCTTCGCCGTCACTATCACCACCGCGTCTTCGTTTCCTCGATTTTCTAGACCCATGTGAAGCATTTTTGCGTGAGCGTGATTTGGGGGTTGCTTTGTGTGGGCTGCCACCTGGTACTTTTGCAGCCTTCGGGGCTATTGGGACCAGAGGAGCCTTAGAGATAAGAGCTGTAGGCTGTGACGGGAGCAGAGCCTTTGGGATCAGAGCGGTAGGCTGTGATGGCAATGTTGGTTGCATCGGAGACGGCGCCGATGGCGCCGATGGGCCAGCTGATATTGTTACACTTGGTTTGGGAGCAATAGCAACGGGCTTCTTCGGCCTCGAGGAGCTTTCCTCAGACGTTATAGGGKGTTGGTTGGAAATTGCTGTAGGTGCCAATGTATTGTTCGTATAAGCGAACGGCACCGTTGGCAGCTCTATGATTGTGGAAGAGGCCTTCATCGTTTTTGGCCTTTGAATATTCAAACTGTCCAAGCTTGGATCAAAAGTTGAGGTGCCCCAACGGGTAGCAAAACTATCATTGTTCTGCTGGTCTCCTCTTATGTTACCAGCGATCCGTGCAAGGAGCTCTGTAGTGGCCGCCGAAAGTTTCGGTATTTGCACTTTCCCCCGAACCGTACCTGTCGAACAGCTCGGTTTTGATGATAAATCGATCGAGGAAGGAGGAGTACTATTGGCTGTGTCTCCTTCAACTGTCGAAACTGATGGATGGCGGCTTGACGTGGTGCTCGGTGTTCCGTCTAAAGTAGATGCCAGGGAAGAAGTAGCCCCATATTGCCGTGACATTCCCCAAATCTGGACTGAATAAGCAATGTTGCACGGGGTATAAATGTGCTTGTCAATCTCTTCAACTTTGATTGATTGCTGTTACTGAGTAGCAAAGGATATGGCAGGGCGAACGGATCCAGATTTATATACCCTCACGTGATTGTAGATTCCTCCCCGCGCAGTTGAGGAATTTCAAACCCGTAACTTGTTATCGGGTCATCAACCTTGACGATAATCTATTGAAGGCTTGCTGTTATACAATCATTTCATCATTCCTATCAAATATGTCTAAAAGCTAAGTACGTCCATGGATTCTTACGGCCGCCGTCGTTCTTCGTCCGCAGCCACAAAGGGATTCGCTCCCTTCGGGACATACAATCTCCAATCCCCACAAAATCGGAACCAGTTTTTGGTCTGCCAGATCCGGTTCACCTCTGTGTTAGAGATGACTCGACACGTGTCATGACACAATGCCCTCATTTTTGAGGAGCTCAATCTTGGCCTTATCATAATTGAGGATGTCTTGGAGGATTTCGTCGGTGTGTTGGCCAAGAGTCGGAGGTGGTCTTCGGACTCCGGGGGTTGCATGCGAATACTTGATCGGAGTGTTAACTAGTTTGATGGGACCACAAGCTGGATGATCAACTTCGGTAACCATTCCACGCGCTTGCACTACCCGGAAGATTCCATGTCAGTGAATGGCTTCACCTAGTCGTTAGACATCGTCGGATGACTTACCATGAGAATGATTGAGTGTCCCTTGGATGTCATTGATCGCGGCATATGGCATCCCGCTGCCTTCCAGGATCTCGAGCCATTCCTGCGTGGTTTTCTGCTTAACAGTCTTCTCAATCAGGCCATCAAGCTCTTCCCGATGCTTTACTCGGTCGCGGTTGGTGATAAAGCGAGGATCCGTCTTCCATTCGGGGAACCCTAGTCGATCGCATAAGACGCCGAATAGCCTGTCGTTTCCGCCCCCAAAAAGAATATCACCATCAAGGGTCTGGTAGCTTCGGTAGGGTACAATTGATGCTTGACACTGTCCGTTAGCGATTGAGAGCTCACCAATCGCCGATAATCTCCCATGTATGAACTTACGGTGTGCAGTTCCCCATCTACCCGAGTCCTTCTCACCACTGATCAGAGCTGAGCTCGCGATATTTGCCAAGGTCGCAACTTGACAATCGCTCAAACAAGCATCGATATGTTGTCCTTGTCCGGTCCTCATGCGGGCAAGCAAGGCAGCCATGATCGCATTGGATGTATACAACCCTGTTGTCAAATCCGTAACAGCTACGCCGACCTTGACTGGATCGCCGTCTCTGCTTCCAGTGATGTGCATGAGCCCCATCTCTGCTTCGACCATGACATCGTACCCAGCTCGGTTACTGTATGGCCCTGTTTGGCCGTACCCTGTGATACTTGCATAGATCAGTCTGGGATTGATAGACCGTAGCGTTTCGTAATCAAGACTGTATTTCTTCAGGGTGCCCGGAAGGTAGTTCTCGACTAGGACGTCGCACTCCCTGGCAAGGTTGTGTAAAATCTCGATTCCGGACTTATGAGCAAAGGAAAGACCGATGGATCTTTTGTTGCGGTTCACCTGGCGCACATGTAAGTTGGACGCTCATTATTTATTCTGGAGGTCACATACAGCCAGAAAATAGGCGCTTTCCCCAGGGCCTTCATGAGACCCATCGGTATACTTTGCGTATGGTGGTCCCCAAGCACGAGTATCGTCACCGCGCACGGGATGCTCCACTTTGATAATATCTGCTCTGGCTCGAAAAGGGCCGACGTTAGCAGTTGGTTGCCAGATAACCATTAATTGATTAGCTTTCAACATACCCCAGATCTCCCAGAATTTGCGTACAGTATGGCTTCGGCGCGCGGTAAGAATTAGTACGGACTCTACTGTCGACCAGAGAGAATAAATAGGGAACCCACTCCAGCCAACACTCGCGTCATGTCAAGAACTCGGATGCCTTTGAGAGGAAGAGTGTCATCGCTTGCAGGGATTGCTGAGAAACGTCGCCCTTGCGGTGTGCACTTGAGAATAATAGTTCTCGACGGGTAAAGTGATGGCCGACGAGCTACAGCCCGTTGTAACAGCCATGCGGCATTCATCTTTCAATGCTTAGCCACTGCGTATGTATTATGGCACTCAATGGCATATCAATTGAGAAGTATCACAATTAATGATAACTCTCTGTAAGGCAGGCGATGCATCTGTGACCTTGATCACTTGAAGGCCGAAGCCGCTCTTTATGGTTGATCCGGGGATTTCCCCGATGGCCGACGGCAGACCAAGCCGAGGTCAGCTAATTAGCTATTTTCAGCATCTCCTGCCCTCACCTACCAGACCCATCTTATCACGATAATCGGGCCTCGAGTATTCCACTACTTAAAAATATGTTCACGGGTCTCGTTGAGTACATTGGGAGTAAGTCATTTTCAAATTCGAAATATTGTAACAGACACAATGCTAATTGGATTTGTTGCAACTTCTAGCGGTTACGTCTCTGGAGCCCCTCGACACCTCGTCAAGTGGGGGCGGGGGAACATCGCTGACCATTTCTGATTGCGAAGAGATCCTCAAAGATGCCCATCTTGGAGACAGTATTAGTGTAAATGGTATGCACTTCACTTGCCCTTGATACTTAGCAATAGCAAGTAATAGCAAAGCTGTTGAAATATTCGTTGTCTTTCTGTCATTCGTCTCATCTGCAAGCGCATCAAAGAGCTTAAGCTTCCCCTCGACAATGGAGACCTAATAGACTAATCTATGAAAAGGAACCTGCCTGACAGTAACCGCATTCGATAAGACCTGGTTCAAGGTCGGCGTCGCTCCCGAGACGCTTCGCCGGACAAACCTGGGAGCATTGGAAAAGGGCTCTCGGGTAAATCTTGAGCGGGCGGTTCTGGCAGAGACGCGGATGGGCGGTCACTTCGTACAAGGTCATGTCGACACTGTCGCAAAAATTCTCTCCGTCACTCCGGATGAGAACTCCTTGGTATTCCGACTACAGCCTCGCGATCAGAGTGTAATGAGGTATATCGTGGAGAAGGGCTTTGTCACACTCGATGGAGCCAGCTTGACGGTGACCAAGGCTGTGGATGGGCCAGACGGGTACTTTGAGATCATGCTTATCGCCTACACACAAGAGAAGATTGTGACAGCTGCTAAGAACCCCGGGGATTATGTCAACGTAGAGATTGACATTGTGGGCAAATACGTCGAAAAGAGTGTCCAGGGTTACTTTGCTGGAACCGCTGGAGGGGACATGAGCATCTTGGAGAAGATGGTGTCTCGCATTGTAGACGAGAAGCTAAAGCGGTGAATAAGCAACAAACAACACGGTCTGAGCGTCAGGATTGCACTTCAGAACTGACCAGGATGACTGAATTCATAATGTCTTCTATGTATCGTACCTGGGACCATGGAATTGATCACACCATGACAAGACTCTACCGATGCCAGAGCTAGAAGATGATCATGAACGGGAAGTCGAAGAAGTCAACAGTGGTGCATGTCATACAACACTTCACATACTGTTTGCATAAGATAGGTAGATTTAAGTATGTCAAGTTCGTAGTTATTTATAAGGGCTTAAGGTACGCAAGGCTCATCTTCTTATGCACGGCTCACTGAGGTGCCTTCAGCGGTATGAGCAGAAGGGTGATCACCGCATCTGAATTCCTATACATTCTTGTTGAGGACACTCGACAAAGGGTATAAATTCGTCCTACCAAAGACACAACTCATATCAACCTCATAAAACACCATTACTCCAGACTTTTATGCGAAAAAACCGCCTCTTCCGTAGCTACCATAGGTTGAAAGGTCGTATTCGAATCAGCCTCTTCGCCTCATTCTTCCATGGACTCATCGTCATCGTCGTTATCCTGCGACTGGATTCCCTCTTCGTCGTCTTCCAGGTCATCGCTGAACCATTCCTCCTCATCATCCATATCCACGTCTTCTTCGTCCTCGTCATCTTCGCCACCCTTTCCTTCAGCTCGAGCTTTGGCCTTTTCCTGCTTCTTCTTCTCAATGTTCTCTCTTTGCTGCTTCTTTCTCTGTTCCTTCTCCTTCTTTTTCTTGGCCCAATTCTTATCCAATGATTTGACCTCCGCTTCTGACTTTTTGATGTAGTCGTGCCACATTACTCTGCCCTCACAAATACCTTCTTCGACCTTGATTAGACGAAGCTTCAGGCGTGGACCCAGTTCGACGAGCTTGACCGCTCGTTTCTCCACCTCTGGGGCATTGGCTTTCTGGGCTTTTGCTTTCTCGCCGGACTTCATGCGCTGCAATTCTCTTTTTGTCAATACCTTTTTTGTAGTGCTCTCTGCAATCTCGACCTCAGCATCGGTGTCCAGTTCCGTCTCGCTTGCCGAGGTATAGCCGGCGGCTGATGGGTCAAGAAGATAGTCGGCGGCATCTTCCAACTTGCCCAGGTTTGGGACGGCAGACTTTCTCTTCTCCCGACTGCGAATTTCCATTGGGTCCAAGCGTCGGATACGCTTCGAGATGCCTGTCTTTTTGGTGCTGATGGCATAATGTCTTAGATTCAAAACATAGGAATCTTCCTCTTCCTCTGATCCGGCCGTAAGTTCACGATTCAGAAGCATCACACGGCGAATGGAGGAGAGGGGCGTAGCCTGAGGAT